GAACACCTTCAAAGTTTTAAAATTCAGCATCATATTCCTGCACTTTCGCACATTTTCCACGTTAGTTTCCAATTACAGTGAGATACTTGCTGAATGATCAAAAATAACTGCGAAGGATTTCAACAGAAAAAAAAATAATAGGAAGACATTTTCAGACACAGGCAACAATTCATCATGAAAATAGAATCATTCTACAAGTAAGGAAATATCTCAATGATTGGTTATTTCTATGTTTCATGGCGATCAGTGATCTGCTAGCATAGCCAGCGGCATGCCTTCTTGTAAGACACTAGAATAATAGCAGCAGTCCTTCATGAAATTGAGAAACGCTCGAAATTAAATTTTGTTTTTCTGCTTACGCTTGATTAGGCTTGAGCTGATGCATTAAGGGAACGGTGGTCACAAGGGAGCGTGCAATTTCTCAACACATATAACTGCACCTCTTATGTAGTGTTGTGCGTGGAGTCCCCGAATTCAGGGACCCCGTCCTCGACCATTTTCGGGGACTCTCCCCATCCCCGTCCGCGACTCATTTTGCTCTCCCCGCACAACACTACTATTATGAGGTATGATATAGTGTCATAGTGAAATATTAAGTTTGTCGTCGTCGATTCGGAAACAAACGATTGCCGATTCAATTTTGCTGATAAAGACAATAAATTGCTTGGTGGAATTATGGAGATTCTCTTGAAGCGAACCTTAGTCTGCGAAACGCCGTCAGTGCCGATAAGCCACATCCAAATAACACCATCATGTGCACCCGCAAATAAAATATCAACTGAACGATGCCATTCCAACCATTCCAGCTCTGATGGCTCATCCATCTGAAACCTCACAATTAGTGAAAAGGATCCATGCGAAGTTCACAATCCTTTCAGTGAGAAGCATTGAAATTTTGTTAGCTTCATCAGTTTACAGCAATGAATTCCTAAGGTTTGAGCACACAACCAGGCTAACAAAATGAAACCCACCGTAATGATAATGTTTGAAATTCAATAATATTAATTCAAGAAGAACGAATAATTTCATTTTCAACTCCCACGATGATCGACTGCGATCCGAACTAAATTTGACATGAATACTCACTCAAATCTTCGTGAATGCAAACGAACCCAACAACACAAATTAATCACCTCGCATCGTTTCCTCAAACTCTCCCCAACTTCAGTAATAACAATTTTACCACTCATATCT